CTTGGGCAAAGCATAGCAATAACTACTCCCCTAGACTGTACAATGAAAGCTGATGACTGCCCCCCCCCCCTACATTCGACACCCAAGTGACTTTGCACAGGGAAATTCTGTAGAATCACCCTTGGCAGCAATCACATGGGATCAGTAGCCTAGGCTTTATGGCTTTTATGAGAAAATCAAATACAAATCACAAATTGGGCTTAGGGACTGGCTATGAAAATAGGAAGCTATTCTCTTAGGCCTGAGATTAGGTGAAACATTCTTTAAGGTGCTCTCCAAAGCAAGGGGTGGGATAGAAAATGTCTGCTGAGATCAGTACATACTGACTACTTACATTACAGGGCCCTTATATAAATATCATCTAGTTTAATCTTCACCAATGCCATGAGCTGTGACTTCCATATTACAGGTAAGAAATGGAGGTTCAAAGAATTGAAGCACAGGTCTCAAGGTTACACAGAGCAATAAAAGTGTCTCTCAGGGCATCTCAATTTCAGTTTGTAAAAGAAAAAATATACTGTGAATAAAGGAAGAACAGGCGAGCTTAGGAGAAAAGTCAGGCATGGTCTTCGGCTAATGCAGGTAGTTCCCAAAGCTCTGTATCATGTTTATAAGATTAAAAAAAAAAGTTCCAAGGTTAATTAAGTCAGGAAATGCTTGGGAGAAATGGGTTTCTTTTCTACAGGATTTCTCAGAGCCTTTAATATGGTAATACTGGATTATGGGTTGCCCAGAGGAGAACACGTAAGCTTTTTTTTCCTTCTGAGATCTAGTTTGTTAGAATACACTTAGGAAAAAGTTTCGCTAAAGCTTTAAGTTCTTAAAATCACATCCAGGAAGTAGGAAATCAATCTCCTACTTTAGGGATCCATTTGACGCTCCCCCACAATGGTGATGTGACTTTGGTCATCATAAAGTAGAGCCAGGACTGGACACCAGGGGGCAGAGCATCGGGCTGAGATGGTAGGTGGGTAGGGTGCAGGGAGCAGGGGACTGAAGAGGACAAATGGCCTTCAACAATGCCTTCTTGTCCAGTCGCAAAGCATCCTTCTACCTCAGAACTCCTCACCGCCTCCAAGTGGGCATGAACGGAAAGGAAGCAGGGACTTTCAGGGAGGCATTTTCCCTAGCAGGCGGGCCCAGACTATGCAGAAGAACAGAGTTCCCGGATCCTCTACAGCTGAGACCTAAGACCTTCTAGACCTTCAATCCAACACTCTTACACAATCGCTAGGGCTTTAGTTATTTGCAAAACCATAGTGGATGCTTTCAATGCAGAAAACACGGACTTTGGAAGAGGAGTCTATTTCTAGAGCTGTTTGACAGGAAAGATCAGAATTGAAACTGGAACACAACACGGTCTTTGTTGGTTCATGGATGGGTCCCCTAGTCTGGGCTGATACATCTCCGAGGAATTAAAGAATGACAGACATCCTAGCAGATTATACTGTCACCACAAATATTTATTCATATTCCTAAAAGCTCGCCTGACCATGAGGTTAAGGCTTCTGACAGAGCCTGCAGAACTGAGATACAGCAAAGACCTGGGACTAGGGGGCGTGCTGCATGGCTCAGTCCTGCAAGTAAGGGACAAAGCTGGTGCCACAGGAGGACAGGAGCTGGCTGGGACTTTCAGGTAAAGGAACCCAAACTCAGCAAGGCGAGTTATTCAGACCTGTTGTTAAGTGCTATCAAGTCAATTCTGACTCATAGTGACCCTGTATAGGGTCCTCCTGGGAGCAGCTGGTTGAATTTGAACCGCCAACCTTGTGGACCAAACTGACCTTAGGGTTCAGTGCTTATCCTACGGCACCACACCAGGTCTCCATTCAGACCTAGTAAGGTTCATCTGCAACACCTTCTTTGCTTCCTTACAGAAAAACAGATATGGGAACTGGTCCATGTGGACAGACAGACTGATTTGGAAATGACAGATTCCCAGAAGTTAAAGCAGATGGATTTCAGTGGAGACCTGCTGCTCTTTTCATAGAAGAGGTAGTTAGGAGCTGACATTGTATCACAAGACTGCTAGTATTCCCTTTACAAACTCATTCTCTAGTCTAACTTGAAGTAACCAAAAAAAAAAAAAACAAAAAACACCTCAATTCATTTTTAGATAGGCCATTCATCGGTGCAAACTAATTTCATCTCATTCTTTACCTCATATGAAACATTTAAAATGAACTATTCCTAGAAGATGCCGCCCAATCCTATCTGTGACATTAAACAAAACCAGCGAAATACCAACAGATTCAACTGTAGAGCACCATTCCAAAATACTAAACTTTCTTTGCACCTTTATTATCTTTTTTTTGTATACATTTAAAGTATGGGCATCCTATAAATGCCTGCAAAGCCTCATAAAAAACATAACAGTAAACAATGAGTTTTGAGGGCAAAGCAGTAACTCAGTTTGTAGGCAAGATGATCTCAAGCAAGCTGTGAGTTCTTCATGGGTTTCTCTAAGTCTGGATGGTGGGAGAGGGTGGAGCAGGACCCTAATATCCTTCTGGATTGTTTTAGGGATTGTGTTGTGTCTCAGTACATATGACCATGACGTCCAGTGTCAGTTCGAGACGATTACAACCCAAACCATGACAATAGTCTCAGAAATGACTTTACTCTTTTGACAAAAAAAAAAAAAGGGGTGGTATTAGATAACTTCAGAGTTTGTACACGTTTTATTTACACTCTGTATGAGATAGATTCGAATAATATTGAATTTCCTTACACATCTCCGTATTTAAGCTTGGATCACCAAAATCTGTTCTTTGCAAGCAGATGTATTTAAAGTAGAATTATAAATGAGTTTTTAATTCAACATATAATTGGCTGCATTGTCATGGAAGACAACTGTTTGAATAAGTAATATGGGACTTGATAGCTAAGGCTGCTTGCAGAAAAACCAAGTTGTTTTCTTTCTTGTGACCCTACGGGTCCCGTTTCACACTGTGATTAGGGCTGTGTTCCTGTCTAACTCTCCATCTATTACCGCAGTAATGTGAACCAAGACCACAGGGATACCGAGAGGACCAATGATTTTTTAGTATATTGTGATTGGTAGGGTGGTTTGAAGAGGTAGAGTCAGAAGAAGGGTGTCCACTAATCGTGTAATTCTGTAGCAGTTTCACAGAAATGGATTATTCCACAGTTAACAGTCAATGACCCAGGAAGAAAGTTTCAATTAGAGGCAAATAGCAGTAAAGGCTACTGTGCACCAATTAGGAAGGAAAATGAGGATATTAATACGCCCTGAAATAGAAATCATCACTCTGCACTATGTACACCACATACAATAGAACATAGTTTCGTTTTTTTTTTTTATAACATTGCACAATAAATATTATACAAAGTGGAGAAAACTTAAAGTGAAATAAATTTGAGGCACACAGGAGAAACATGGGCTAGGTCAAGCTTTGACTGAAATGAAGATGGACTAGAGAAAGGCAGACCAGGTCAGCCTTCTTCTCAGCAGGCTGGTGGCCACCTCCCAGAGAGTCTGGAAAAACGATCAGACCTCAATGTTAAATGAGTTAATTGCTTCAAAGGAAGGCTAATTAGTGAGATAATTTGAGAAAACTGATGTTTGGGTAAAGTAGGTAACTTCTACTGGTCCCTTCCAACCTTAGGGTTTCGTATGGAGGGACGAATGAGCAACCTGTGAAATTTCCTGTCTTGTAAATCATTTGGTTCTTAGGAAACCACTTTAAGGAAACTAAACCAGTATTCAAGAACACCCATCACAGTGCTTAACAAGATTTAATGTACATTTATTCTTAACATGTGGAACATATAAAGATTTTATACTGGATAAATGATATTCATTAAGCCAGAGGAAAAGGAGGAATTTACATCAAGTTTTTTTTCTTTTTTTTTTTCTTTCTTTTTTTAAACTACATTATCTTGAAATACAAATGTGGATTCTCATCACTGAAAAATCTTTGAAGTTGTGTTTCTTCCTTTTAGCTGTTCTTTTTCTTTTTTTAAATGTGTACTGTAACCATGTTCTTAATCCGTATGCAGCCATTTCCACACCTTGATTCATGAAGCAAATTGTGATCAGCTGCTCTTCCGAAACAGAGCATGACTTTATACATACAGAAACTTGTACATTACCCTCTTTTTTTTTTGTCTTTTTTTTTTTTCCGCCTTTTTTTTCTTTTTTTTCCCTTTTTGGAGCTATGGCCCTAATGAAAAAATATATAAAATAAAAATAAAAAATTATTTAAATCTACCATCACTTTGTAGTTACCACATCATGAAAAAAGAAATGAAAAACTCTGTACTTAAAAAAAAAAAAGAAAAAAAAAGAAAAAAATGAGGGTGTGTTCAATGTACAACTTCTATATACATCCGTAGCCTACAGGCAGTAAAAAAAAATATATTTAAAAAATGATGAAAGGAATTGTGAAGAACTTTCATGGAGAAGGTGGGACAACAGACAGCAGGCATGAGTCGGGCTGAGGAAACGGTTGATCGTTGTGAGGGATTTAGTTTCAACTGTAACTTAGAAAACATCGGTTTTTGTTTTGCTCCTAGCCTTCTGTCTCCATTTCCCTGCAGAAAAAACAGCATCATTCAGTCTGACTACCGACTGACACACCTCCTTGAGCCCGTCCCTACGTCTCTAGAAGTTTCTATTGCACAGAGCTGTGGGTGATGGGATTCAGGGTTGTTTTTTTTGTTGTTGTTGTTTTTCCTGATCTGAAGAAATAAAACACATTGGAAACTGATCATTTGTCACCTTTTCCACCTCAGTGTGGTGAAATGTTCCCATCTCAGCATGCGTTACCACAATATTTTTCTCTAGTGTCAATTCGCTTACCCCCAAAAATATGCAATACGACATGGAAAAAGAACACAAAAAAAGAATCTCCTATGAAAAACAAAAAGTGACCTTTGAAAGCGCTAGACAGCAACTTTGGTTAAAAAAAAAAAAAAAAAAAGATGTACTTATACACACAGACAGCAAATATTAATTTCATAACTGTTGGAATTAATGATTTCTTTAATTCCCAAATTGGTAAATAGTGAATGGGGCCGAGGAGCCAAGACTTGGTGTCCTTCTTCCTACGCTGGATCAACCAGAAGAGAAACCAGTCAGTGCTAGGTGACCCTCCAGACGCCCTGACACACGTGTACCCTTCTGTCTTGTGTCATAACTGCCCAATCTGAAAGAGTACATCACAGACGACCGACGCAACCAGAGAGTTCAGGACCGCCGAGATGGAGATATCCAGCAACCGGCCCTCGTGCAAGAGGAACTCGGAGCGGTTTTCGTCCACTCTGGCCATGGCCAGCAATGCCTTAGCCGCCCTGCACATCATGTCCACGCTCGGGGGCTCCAGTGGGGGGGTCTGCATGTGCAGGAGGCTGTGCTGGCTTTGTTGGTACTGGGCCATCGTCACCCCATCCTCCAGGAAGCTGATCAAGTTCCCAATGCTTCCCTTCTGCACAGCGATGGCCCTCGCCGCCAACGCGTCCCCTTGGGCGAGGTTCGATAAAAGCGCCATGGACATTTCTCGGCAGACTGGGTTCTTGCGATCCCCAACGTACCTAACTAACGTAGCGTAGAACTTCTCCTGGCGACTAAATGGAGGGGTGGCCAGGATGAGGTCCACATTGTTGTCCTGGATGCTGAGTTTACAGAGAGTCTCCAGAACGAGTCTCTGAGGCGATAGGACCGAGTTGGGCCCCACGGTTGGAAAGGGGTCTTGTGCCTCTGCAGATGGGCACACCATCCAGTGCAGCAAGCCGTCCAATATGGGTAAGCAGATGCTTTCTGTGTATGCAGACAAGTCTAGCTGCCCGGAAATGTTGGCCAGTGTCACCAGCGTGTTGTCCCTCAGCACCTCGAGACAGTCCCACCACCACTCGTCTTTGCTGCAGGCCACCCCCTTGTCCTCGTCTTCTTCCTTCTCGTAGGTCTGAGGGGCCCGCTTCCTCTCGGGATGTTGGTGGTGAAGGAGGATGAGCTTCCCCAGGATCAGCACCAAGCCCGGGTGTCTGGACATCTCGGCGTCATTGCCAGGCACAAAGGACAGGCTCCGGACAATGTTGGACACGCAGATGCAGCGCTTGGCCAGCGAGTCCTGCCAGTGTGCGATGGTGCACAGAGGAGCCTCGTCACGGCTCCGCGGCTCGTCCTCCAGCAGTTTGATGTTCCGGTGGCTCTTGGCCTGATGGATGCCAAAGGGAAACTTGCTGCTCTCCACCTGGTTCCCAGGCTGCCCGTCGTCGGGCAGGGCCCCTGGCCGGGCCGACAGCACGTCATCGATGGTGGCGAGGATGCCCTTCTCCTGGGGCTCCTCGATGTCTCCCTCCCCATCCTGCCCTCGCTTTCTGCCCGCTGAGCTCGCGGGGGCCAGCAGCCGTCGACGCGGTGGGATCTCCATCTTGCTCTCAAAGTGGGTCTGGATGTGCTCCGTGGTGTCTCCGCCGCCCAGCTGCCAGTGCAGAAGGCCGCTGCTGAACTCCTGTACGCGGCCCAGTCGATCGGAGCGGTCCACCACAAACAGCCGGTTCTTCTTGACAATCTTTAGGGGCAGCTTGTCAAACCTGCTGGCCTGTTGGGGTTTCTCCTTGGGGTCGGCAGTGGCATCTGGAGACGGGAGAGCTGTACTGCTCTTGGCTTCGGCTTCTGCCTTCTCACTGTCTTCCTCCTCCTCCTCCTCCTCCTCGTCTTCCTCATCTTCCTCGTCCTCCATACAGTCAGCACCATCAGCCTCCTCTCTCCCAGGGCTGTCTGCCGGCGACTGGCTTTCATCTCTCCTCGTGGCAGCATGATCGAGTGCTTTTTGGCTGGGATCTCCCACTTCATACTCCATGAGGATTCCAAAGATGTCAATGAGGCATTTCCTAAAGTATTCCACCAGAAGCTCGAGAAACCCAGACAACTGGAGGGGGGAGAAGAAGAGACACACAGTCACAACATTAGCTAGAACCAGGGAGGGAGACATTCCTGATGGCTAGCAAGACAGTTTGAGAATTACTTTCACGCGGGTTTTCATTCCTTTTGGGCTAGGCCAAGACAGACAGAGTGCGTATAAGCTAGAACTGACTCCCTGCATTTTACATTGCTGACTAAAGCTCCATTCACCACAATTCCTGTTTGTCTTCACCTTTCTACTCTACCAACATGCACACTGACTTTTATCAGTAAAGCCTGACACAGAAGGTGCTAGAAGAGTGGCGAGCCAATAGTGACCAGAGTACACCTTGTTAAAGACCCAGAACACAGTCGTGCCAGTGAGTTCCAGCTCTCACAGATCTCGCTGTATTTTTGGTTAGTCCTGGTGTAGCGCTGTGGGTTAATGGCTGGACTACAAGGTCAAGCAGTTCAAGCTCACCAGCTGCTCCTCAGAAACCCTAACAGGGTCGCTATGAGTCAGAATCAACTCGAAGGTACTTAACAACGTTATCCTGGTGTGGCGCTGTCGGTTAAGCACTGGGCTGCTAACCACAAGGAAGATGGTTCAAACCCACCCAGCCACTCTCTACAGGCTAGCTATGAATCAGAACCTATTCGATGGCAGTCAACAATAGCTTATCAACAGGGAGAACTTAGCTGTTCTTGACCGTTTTTTGGGGGTGAGATACAGCATACTTGTTATCAAAAGAGGGGGTGTGTGTTACAGATTCAGTCACCCAAAGTGAGTCTCCCCGATTCTATTCTTTTCTGATACTTGCTTCTTGCCTGGGTTTTCATGGCTATTCTTAGGATTTTATGGTTATTTTTGTTGAAATTTACCCTAATTTATGTCCCCCATGATGCAGTTAACTCATAAACACTGAATAGCAGATCAATTTCTTCCCTGATAAATCAATCAGAATGTTTCAGAAAAGTACCAAGAGCGAGCTCTCGCCTCTGAGAACCAGCTTTGTCTCTTTAAGGAAACGTTTGCACCTAAGAGCAAATACCATGTCTCATGATCAACAAGGACCCAACCCACTTCCCCAACATAAACACATGACAACATTCAGGGATGATAGTAAGTTAGAAAAAGGATTCTTTCATGATGGGTGCTACAGAAATCAGCTGCATTTTTAGAGCCTCCTGTCAGATTCGTGAAAATGGGTTTGAAATCATCACTGCTTAACGAGGAGACCCAAGTACCAGCTCTCAAGTATTTGGTTTTTAGGATGCCGAGGGCATCATTTCTCAAAAGGACTCTGGGGTTCATTTCCCCACCTAAAACTGACATTTCCCTAGGGGAAAAGGAGAAGTTGATACAGCCATTCTGATCATGAGAATGTGCAAGCAACAAGAGGTCCCCTAATGAAAGGATGATAGTTAGTTATTCCAAGTCCATGTCTTCAGCCCTTATTTTCCATGACGACAGACTTCCTGCATTGTGTAGGGCCTTATTAATATACTTCCTAGCAACTGAAAATTTGCCCTTCAGGGCTCCAGTGAGGACTTAAATAAGAGAAGAAAGAAGAAATGGGAGATTCCGGTCTCATTTTCAACCAAGCAATGAAATTAGGTTTGTCGTTGTCTCTTCTCCCAAAGCAGAGGGTCAGTTCCTGGTAGAGGGCATGGCAGGGCGATAGCTTTTCTCACTTTGTGTTTCCGTTAAGTCTTCACAAGTCTGCAGCCCCGCTGACTAGGGAGTCCCCCCTCTCCTGTAACTCTCACCTCCTCTCTTTCCGAGCTATTATGCTGGAAGCTACTTTAAATCTTGTTGTTAAGTGCTGTCAAGTCGGTTCTGGCTCATAACAACCCGTCTAGGGTTTCTGAGAATCAGCTGGTCAATTTGAACCGCCGACCTTGCGGTCCAGTGCTTATCCCACAGCGCCACACCAAGAGTCTTATTTAGGAATTGGTGGTTGTTGTTAAGTGCTGTCGAGTCGGTTCTGACTCAAAGTGACCTTGTAAAGGGTTTCCAAGGGTTTTAAGTACATTACCAAGTACTTGGCTTTTCACAATAACCTGGAGAAAGGCAGAAATGTAGAGGGGAACAGAACCAAAGACAAGCTTGCTATAGGATAAAATTCATTTCCCTTTTTTTTTTAAATTAGAAGAAATAAGTCAGGTCCTCCCTGTAAAATAAGAGTAATATCACACTGCGACCTTTATCACTTCTAACTCTGCTGAGAGTCATGGCTTTGTGACATTCTGATTAATTCCTGTTGGTCTGTTAATTGTCAAGACTAAACAGTTTCACTTTCTTGCCATACTCTATTTCCATCTGCATGCATTCAAGGTCTGGTGTTTTATGAGAAAAAAACAGACATATGGGTACATATGTATATACATGAGAGGCATATAGGTACATATGCATGAGAGACATATAGGTACATATGTATACACACGAGAGACATAGGTACATATGTATACACACGAGACACATATAGATACATGTGTATATACAGGAGACATATAGATATATGTGTATACCAGGCATAGGTATATATGTACATACATGAGAGACTAATATAGATACATATGTACACACACGAGAGACATATAGCTATATACATATATCAGACATATAGACATATATGTAAATACATGAGACATATAGGTACATGTGTATATACATGAGGCACATATAGATATATATGTGTATCAGACAACAGGTATATATGTATATACACGAGAAACTAAAGTTAATACTGGGACTCTTGGGGTGGCTGTAGGATCAGCACTAGACTGTGAACCACAAGGTCAGCAGTTCAAACCCACCAGCTGCTCCTCAGAAACCCTATACAGGGTCACTATGAGTTGGAACCGACTTGGCACTTCACAACCAAGTTAACACTAGCTTAGACTATAATTTTTAAATAACTCTAAGTGGACAAATCAAAAAGTATTGCTACAAAATCACTGATATCTTTATTAAAAAAATATCCAAATGTGAACCTATTGTTTCTTGACAAATCCCCCGTCTGGGTCTACTCATTCCTGAAGGCGGTATCTCCCCCTCTAAGCCTTCCCTGAAGAATTCTGCGCTCCCTGATTTACACCACAGCAAAGCGGCAGTTTCGGCAGCCTCAAAGGACTCAAACCTGATTCCTTTTCAATGTTCTTTGAGTTTGGGGAACAGAAAGAACTCTGAAGGGGCAAGACCAGGGCTGTAGAGCGACTCGGGTCAGGTTTCTCAAAGAAATTCTCCTAGGAAAGCCCCTGTTACCACTGAACAAGCAGGTACATCGGTGGTATGACGAAAAAAAACCAAAAACATTTCTAGTTGCCACTTTTCTGGCTTTTTTTCAACAATAATTTTCAATTTTCTTAAAACTTCTTCCAAAGAAGGCCCTGTGCTCGTCCTGTGTCCTTTGAGAAAACCTATCGAAGACACCCTCTCTGGAGTCTCAAAAACAGTCGCTGACCTCTCTGCCTTGAACTGAACTGAGAGAACTTGTCTTCAGCCATTGACTGTAGAGACATGTTTAAGGACGTTTTGTTTGGAATAAACCCATGCATGTATGAACTGAAACCCTAGAAACAATACTTTTTGATTTACCCTTATCTGTTGACTGCTGGATTAGGCCAATGAGGCTGTTAGAAATGGGAGAAACATCAGTGAGAAATGACTCGGGCATTTGTTTCGAGCATTCTGTGCACAGTTCATTTCCGAATGGTTCGACGGTCTTTTCATTGGATGGGGGCTGACTTACCTGGGAGAGGTTGAAGGTGGCGACAGTGCTGTCGTCATAAAGAAGGATGTTAATTGTGTCCAGAGCCCAGGTACTTTCAGCCAACAGACCTGATTTCAGGGACATCATCACACGCCAAGCCTCAGGAGTTACTAAAATCAGGGAAAAGAAATGAGTATACAATATTAGTCCTATGCATGAAAGAACAGAAAATAACAAAAAGAACTAAAAAAAAAAAAAAAGACCTGGAGTGTTGAGTAAAATATTGACGTGACATTTATAATGATTTGACTCATAACATTGGAGTCAAACTCCAAAGTGGTGTTCGTCATCTTAGTGCTCTCCAGTCACAAATGTCTCAAGGGGTCTCTCAGAAGGGTGGGCAAGAATGCAGAGGTGAATTTCCAAACGGCACGCCCTCCGATATAAAATCTCAGTTTTCCCCACACTATTCTTGTCTAAGCTGTGGGCCTGCCCCAGAACGTGCTCTGGGGAATTAGCACCTTGATGTTTCAGGCTTTCCAAGATCTTGGTCTGAGCCAAGGAATAGGAAATGGAAGGGGTGTACTCCCCCACAACTTTCCCAATTCTGAAGAAAATAAATGACTGAATTTCAAGCTTTTAAATTTTCTTAAGATGGGCCTAGGAGGACAGGCACATCCCGTATCTGAATTGTTTGTTAATGGCAGGTGTCTCCGGGACCCTGGCAGTGGCCCCTGGCCAGAGCAGAGCCCTTTAGCTTGCCACAGCTGTCACTCCACGGTCTGCAAGGAGCCTCAGCCCCAACAGGGTTTCAGAACAGGACTGTGGGCTTATCCACCTGGTAGCGTAGTGGTTATGAATTGGGCTGCTAACTTCATGGTCAGCAGTTCGAAACTACCAGCTGTTCCGTGGGAGAAAAATGAGGCTTTCTGCTCCCGTAAAGATTTACAGCCTTGGAAACCCTGTACAGGGTCGCTCTGGGTGGGAATCAACTCCACAGCACATAACCACCAACCACCACCATACTAATAGATACAGGAAAATGTACACAAAAATAGATAAGAAGGGGAGCAGTGTGTTTCTCTCTATGCCTAAATCCATCTACAAGGGGGCTTCAAAAAATTAGTGGAAAAATGACATTATTTTTTAATCACATTTTTTCCATAAACACTTAGAAGTCTCCTCGTATATGTCTGTATTTATATCTCCAACAACTTGGGGCATAAATGATCTCCAACGATGGACAGCATCTTTAATATCTTTAATTCCCTAATCACTGCATATGGTTTTAAGTCAAGCTTCTTTGAGATTTACAAAATGTTTCTTCTCATGCATCCATGTTCTATTTGTTCCTTTGCTGTGTCCTAAAGCACCTCAAAAAGAATGCAGAAGATGGGACCCTATGCAGAGAAGCAGCGATGCCACTGATGGAGGTAGAGCTGAGGACACAGAGAGACAGAGTAGCTGAAGACTCTAGACTCATGGAAAGAGAAAGGCTGTGTACTTGTGGCCAGGAGGCAGGCTTGCACAATGTGCCCTTTGGTTGTTTAAATTTGGTTGATTATATATTCCTAAGTGTTTTTGTGTACATAAAACAACAACAACAACAGGGAACAGAGCAGATACTGTTGAATGATGATGCACGGAGACTATAATCATTGCAAAGAAACAATGAGTGAAAACCAATGTTTTTCCATGTAGACTATCGCTCAATTCACAGAAAAAACTTTAAAAAAAGAATGCAGAAAAATGGTTTGTACTTCCAGCATCCTAAATCTCTCCTTTAGCATCCAGAATAGTCCATCAGGATGGACAAGTCATGTTAGGATTCAACTTGTGTGGCCCAAATCTAACAGTGCTGGATGCCTTACCTCAACTTTATCCATCATATTCAGATTCCAACATTTTTTTGGCGGGGGGCGACTCGCTGTATCTGTTGTTACTACAACTAGTTGTTGTTGTTAAGTGCCGTTGAATAGATTCTGACCCTTAGCGACCCTGACTAGAGAAGGGGCTTTTTCTCAGCTCAGCTATGGGTTTCATTAGCTTTGTGATCAACGTGTGTTGAGCCATTGAGTCGTTTGGGTAAGTGGTTTGGCTCAGGGTCAAACGTTTAAACTCAAAACACTGCACATCATCACTGAGGATTCACTCCCTGGTCCCTAGCTGCATTCTGATGCCACAACACACGGTCCGTCCATACAGAAGGCCCCCCATTTCACATGCAACTCCTCCCTGGTACTGTTTCTTCATTCAGACGTGGTTTCCCTAGGGTTTTCCTCCTGACCCTCAGAAGAACATGTCCATCGAGTCAGTAGCCTGGAGAGACCAAGAGGAACTACCTCTAACCTGGAACTCCCGGACCTCACCTCAGGACCCCTCAGAATGCTTACCGATGTCTTTGGAGGTAATCTTTCGCCTTTGTTTCAGGACTGGCTGTGACGCTTCCACTGAGCCTGGAGGAAAGGTGATCTCCCTCCGAATGGGGGGCGGCTGGGGTGGCGGGCCAGCTACCTGGGCCGCGGGCCCGGCGGGCATGACCTTCTGCATCTTCAGAGAGGGCAGGAAGGGGGACTTGCTTGGCGACATGCGGTTCTCCAGGGAGCGCTGGAAGGACGCGGGGCTGGGCGCCCTGGCGATGTGGTTTGGCAGTGAAGGCGGCGTCTGGTAGGACGCCTGGGGCGGGCGCGTGATGGGCGGCATGGAGGCTGATGGCGGCATGTAAGGCTGACGTTGGCTGACGTGCGAAGGCCACTGGCTCTCGTGGTTGATCCTCTGGTCCGGCACCAGCATCTCCTCCGTGCGGCTGACGCCGGGGTAGGGGGGCGCCTGTGCGGGGCCGCCGGGGCCCTGCCGGCTCGGGTAGGGATAAGGCATCTCGTTGCGCGCCGCCCACAGGTTCTGCTGCGGGGCTTCGCTGGAGGCGGCGGGCAGCGGGCCGCCCAGCATCGGTGGCGGGAGACCGTGGGGCTGCATCTGCCCGGGGCCCTGCAGCCGCTCGCGGGGGTACGGGTACGGGTACTGGCCCTGCAGGGGCCTCCGCTCGGGGCCCGAGTAGGAGCCGCCATACTGGTTGTAGAGCTCCTGGGGCTGCCCGGCGTACTGCATGGCGTACATGTCCCCCTCGTGGCGCTTGGCCGAAGGCCCGTACATGCCGTCCAGGTGGCGCTTGTAGTTCTGAAACCCAGAGAGACACATCACACGGGGGCCTGGAGGCCGCCCCCAGGCTCACACCCATCATGCAGCTCCTCCGAGGAGGGTGGGCGCACAGAAGTGGGACTCCTCCCCTGGGCCTGGCCCAGGGCAGCACTGTGACCTCCCCGCAGGCCTGGTGGCAGTAAGGAAAGGGACTTTCCTCTCTCAGGGCTCTGGAGGCTGGCTGGGAGGGGCCAGGGACCCCAACATTTCAGAGACACCTCACCCCCACCTCTAGACTCCCCTGCTAGCAGAGCCAGGTCCCACCCCAGCACCAGAACACACAGGGGGTACGGGGCTTTGGGAACTCCAGAGGAAGATGCCAACGTTTCCTTTCCTCTCCTGCCACCTTACCTGAACATCACTTAAATTCAATCTACAGTACATATATAAGCTCCAGAGAATTTACAGGTTTAAAATCGCTTTGTGTTTTACAACAACAACAAAAAAGTCCACTTGCAAGAGATCTCCTGAAAAGCTGTTTGGAAACAGCAAAATCCCCTGTGCCTGAAAAGCCTGACCCAGAGGGGCGGATTCTCCCAGTCTAAATCGCTAGTACAGCACTGCCCAACTGCCTGTGGGCCAGCATAAACTTGGCATCGTCAGCCATAAAAACAACAGCTACAAAAACACAAACCAGTTGCTAAGGTGTCAGTTCCAACTCAGGGCAACCTCATGCATGTGAGATTAGAATTCTGCTCCACAGGGTTCTGAAGAAGTGATCATTCTTTTTTTTTTTTGAAACTAGAATGCCAGGCTTGTCTCTTGAGGTGCCTGTCGGTGGACTCGAACTGCTAACCTTTTGGATTAGTAGTTGAAGACTTCACCATCTGTGCCACCCAGGATCAAGATTGGCTACTGTTAAGATTTCATTAATAAAAATCCAATTAACTTTAGCTATCAGTATGTTGTTGCTGTTGTTAAGTGCTGTCGAGTTGGTTCCGACCCATAGCGACCCTGTATAGGGTTTCCAAGGAGATGCTGGTGAGCTTGAACCACAGACCTTGCAGTTCCAACGGCTTTGCAGTCTGGTGCATTAACCCACAGCGCCACACCAGGACTCCCATTTTAAATGACAACAGTACTAACTAAATAGTAAACACAAGGAGCTCTGGTAGCGTGGTGGTTACGAATCGGGCTGTGAACCTTAAGGTCAGCAGTTCGAAACTACCAGCTGTTCCATGGGAGAATGAGGAGGCTTTTTTGCTCCCCGGAAACCCTGTACAGGATCACTATGAGTCGGAATCGACTCCACAGCACCACCAACCAAACAGCAAACACACATTTCAACTGAACTTGACTTGGGCATGTTACTAAGGACCACGAGGAGATTCCAGGCGGCTGGGGCGGTGTTATGTTAGTTTCAGGATACCATCTCAAGAGCAATGTTTAATTTGCTGACTGCAAAATCCTAGGAATATTTTCTAGCACTCAACAAATGGATCGCCAATGTTCAGTAAATACTAATTGTTTTTGTAAAGCAATGAATTTGGATTTTAGCCTCGAGGAAAAAAGCAAACAATAAAGAGATCCCCACCCACTTGCCGACTCACCGGTTGCTGTGGATACAGGCCAGGCTGGTGGCCTCCATATGGGGGTTGTCCTGAGGGAGGGCCTTGGCCTGGGTACTGCTGCCCATAAGGTTCATGCCTGGAATGAGGCATTCAAAGCCAACATAAGTGATAAAGGACTTCAGGCCAGCAGAGAAACAAACCATCCATTTCACCACACACAAGTCCTGACCAAGGCGCTCTGAGTAGCAGCCGCCTTGAACTTCAGCAGAGGGATGGGAACACCCATCCCAGGGAACGCTGCCAGGATTTGGGTTTGGACTGCTGGTTAATGGGAGTCGGTGGAAGACCGGTTGAACAGGCAGGCAACCTGCAAACACTCGTCAGATCTCTGCCTTTGAGGCAGAGGCCCATGGCCCATCTGGTCCCACCAGAAGTATATTCTACAACCTTGGGCTGTGAGGGGTTAGTGAAAGGGAGACACAGCACAGGGGACAAGCATCTCAGGATCAGTCAAAGGGCAGCATAAATAATCTCTGGAAGCAGACCTAGATATAGAATCACGGAAAAGTATTTCCATCTCGTTATGAATGCAAAATGATTGCTTTTTAAAAGTTATACCTGAAAACACATTCAAGCGATACTGACTTTAGAATACAGATATCAGTCCTCAAAATTGCAAAATCCTGTGTCTAATGATTGAAACACATTCTTAAATCTTACAAGATTAAAAGGAAAACACAGAATGAACAATACATTTCTTTTTCTACTGCTACTATATTGAGAAATTACAGACACCATGAAAGAAAGAACATGTAGGGCTGGGTAATAGATCTGCGGTTTTGAAAAAAGAAATTAATGTAGCATACTTAAACCGATCAAGGAATGATCATACAAAACTGCCATGTTTTAGAATCTCACACTGTCAAACAGATAGAGGGGAAGTTTTTGCTAACAATATTCATATTTAGAAAGAAGTTTAGAGTTGGGAGTAAAGGAATGTAATTTATATGAGTAAACTTTAAGTGAAGTAACAGGAAATATTTCTTATGAGAAAACTTAATGTGGTAAACCCCTCTTTTGTATGTGGTAGGAGTCAAAACAACTTTTACAGCTAGGTCAGACAACATTCTAGAATGCATACTAGATGAAAAAGAAAAGGATATTTGCTTGTGTTCCTTTTAGAATCCCAGGTACAACTGTCCTCCTTCTAATAGTTTTTTTAGCCAAAATGAGAAAACTTTCATTGGACCCTCAGAAACCACCAAATCTAAGCACCTTAAAAGCTAAGCACATACAGAATGGTTAACTAATTAATGCAGAACAGTATTGACTACAATTATGATAGAGCAAGAACCGGAAGAATCGTTTTAAGCAGCTCTTAACTAACTGCGGTTGAATCAACTCTGATCCATGGAGACCCCGCGAGTGTCAGAGAACAACAGTGCACTAGAGGGTTTTCAACAGCTGAATCGTGGATCGCCAGGTCTTTCATCTGATGTGCCTCTGCGTGAACCTGGACAGCCAGTCTTCAGAGAAGCAGTTCAGTGCATTAACTGTACCACCCAGGGACTCCAAGCCACTAATTGTTGTTGTCGTTAAGTGCCCTTGAGTCATTTCTGACTCACAGCGACCCTGTCAAGGGATTCCAAAGAGTAGTTGGTGGGTTTGAACCGCCAACTTTGTGGTTAACAGACCAGTGCTTATTCTAGAAGGTATTATATCACTAAAACATGTGACGGACTATACATTCACAGAAAATGCTATAAAGAAACGGTTTGGTAAAAAACGGATTTTTCTCCTCTATGTATCTAACCAGTGAGATCTGGTCTGTCCCTACTGAATCCTCCCTTCTGAGCCATCATGGGAGGTGGGGCGACACCCCTGACTGGAGCAGCCCCACGGTGGCACCACCACACCGTGCCAAGGGCTGCCAATGGTGGCCAGTAGGGAAGGGGCTTCTGTTGTACCTTCAGTTTTATTTCCCTTGAAAACCCACCAATATTGTACTCAAGGCTTTTGCTTCTAAGCAGTAAAAACCACAAGGGCAAATAGAAGGGGCTCTAATAGTAAGTATTCGAGTCGGGGTTACAGGCAAGGACTTTCTTCACAGAAAGTGGTCCACCTGAGTGACTGCGGCAGGCACCGTGTCTGACCACCTCTCACAGCCTGAGCCGTGGCCCTTGGCGAATACAGGGAAGCCCCGTGTTCTCGCTGTATACAGTCACAGAGAAAACACCTAACAAAGCAAGGATTGGCCGACCCCATGGGAGCTCACCTACTACCTCACTCAGCCCTGAGAAAGAAACTGGAAAGCTGACGAATTCTTGTGAGTTCACAGAAGGAGAAGGACCTGGAGCTTGGAACTTGCTGGTGGCACCGCTGGTATTACAGAGGGGACCTAATACTGCGACGATGTCTCTCCCAGGGACCAGACTCTGGCCTGGCCTGGCCCGGCCCAGCCTGACCCAGCCCAGCCCATCTCTTGACTTGTGCTTGTGGGTATTCGCTTACAGAACACAGCTGCACCCGAGTACCCAAGGACAAGGCCTTGCCTGTCTGGTTACGGCCTTGAACTTGTTCACCAGCAGTAACGGCCTCTGGTTAGTGACAGCAGGAAAGCCACTGTCACGATGTCACCAGAGGCATGGCTACCGGTCAGTCTCAGATGCCTGTGAGAGACAGCAGCGTTCCTCTGACATCATCTCCCCATGACCACAACACTCACCTCCGGTCGTAAGTGGCTCCGTAGGGGAACTGCTGCCGCTGGCTCATGCCCAGGTTGGACATGGCTCCTGAGGGACTCTGGTTGTACATGTCCTGCAGGCTGCTATTGGCCATCTGTCCTTGTGTTATAAAGGACTCACTACTCCCAGGCACTGCAACATTTTTAAGAAAAACAAAACAAAAACGCAAATTCCAGCATTTTCCAAAGTTAAAGGACCCAAAGATCCCTTCTAATCCGTTCTGTCGTTTCAATAATATTCCTGACAAATCACAAGTTCTCGGGCTAAGATGGGCCTGCTGGAAGGCAGAGGAGGTTGAAGACGACCCTTTGATTTCCAGGGTGTGGCCCTCCCTGCCCTGCCAAGGTGGACAGGCACACCTTGGAGGTATTGTGTGTTTGCAGGAAAGTGAGCCACATGAACCATGGTGGCTTCCCCATGCATGTGAGAGTTAGGTTTGCACTACACTGCAGTCTAGGAAGTGTGCAATAGTGTGATGAAGTTTGAAATACTGTGAGAATGATCAAAATGTGGCACAGAGATGTAAAGCAAGCACATGATGCTAGAAAAACGGAGTCGGGAGAGCTGCTTGACGCAGAGTTGCCACAAAACCTTCCATTTGTGAAACAAAAGAGAGCAGTAAAAAGAGGTCTGGCTGTATGCGCCTGGTAGCAGTTCCTTGCCTTGTCCCGAGTATGGACCGTACCTGTGGATGTGATGGGGTACTGGATCATTCCAGCACAGGGAGAAAGGGAGGCTGCCGCCATTGTAATTACGGTTACTCATCAGTTACCAAAAGGGAGATTCTCTGGGTGGGCCTGACCTAAGCACAAGAGCTCCTTAAATCTGGGTCTCGTGGTTAGAGATAGAGTAAGTCAGAGACCATCTCCTGCTCCCGTCATGTGAGAAGGCCCATGTCAAGAAGGACCAGCAGCCTCTAGGAGCTGAGGGTGTCCCCAGATGACAGGCAACAAGGAAACAGGCATCTCTTTCCTTGTGGAATCTGGTCAAATCTGACCGAGTTTGGAAGACGGCCAGGAGCCCTAGATGAGAATCAGCTCTGTGAGCGCCTGAACACAGGACCCCGCCTCTCCTTCACAGTCACGGAGAACGAATTCCTGCTGGTTTAAGCTGCTCAGTGTGTGGTTACTTGTGAAGCAGTAACATAAAAGGCTAATATGGGCCCAGATCCATTGCTTACTTGGGTCCGAGTTTAACTCTTGTCTAAAAGGAGGTCACCTGACACGGTCTCATGGGTAGTTTTTAGGAATAAAATACTGCATTTAAAGTTCATTCCTCCCCTCATAGGAAAGAGAGTGACAATCTTACCACAAACACACTCCCACCGCCTCACTCCAAAATCGGAGAAGAGAAAATTACTTGGGAGCAAGAATAGCTCCAGACGGGATGAGACACAACTATTTCTAGCTGAGGGAGAAAGCCAATTAGGTCAGAGATGCACATTCGCATCCGTTTAGAGCTTGAAGAAAGTGGGTCAGACCCAGAAACTAGCCTGTTGGCAAATTAAACCTGCTAATATAAATTTGGATTAATATATATTAGTAGGACTTTTCTTCAGCTTCTAATGGTCATTTCTGTGTTACACGAGGCAGAAGCTGACTAAAGTTCTGTGAGCTGATAAACCTGATTGGTTGATAGAGAAGTGCTAACAACAAAGTTCTGTGAGCTGATAAACCTGATTGGTTGATAGAGAAGTGCTAACAACAAAGCTGAATAGGGGTGAAAGGTGTCTGTAATGTACCTTGACATATTTCACCTTACCAGTTTCACACCAATCTGTTTGGATGACAATGTCTATTCAACACAGAGAAATGAAGGGAGCATAATTAAAGCTAGAAAGCTTAGTTCCCTAGAACGCAAATAGTTCTACAAAATGAACAGGAAAAAAAGGACATTCAAATCTTAAAAATGGGCAAACGCATATATGAACGTTCACAGAAGATGAATCCAAAAAGATGAATGACTTCACTAGCCATTTCGGAAATCCAAACTGAAATAATAAAGAGGCTTGAAAAATTCTTTTTCCCAAGCTGACTGGCAAGTACGATAAAGACTCAGAATCATTCTCTTTGAGGAAGTGAGGGGCCACGCAGTCTTACATACGATTATCGTTCAAGGTATTAAATAGGCATAACTGTGGCAACACTTATGTGGTTGCACACCTCCCAATGCCCAGACCCTGTGAAGTCCCCTTCCATGAAGACCTTGGACTTGGCCCAAGGACTCAGTGTTTTAAAAGAAATTCTTCTTATTGTTGTAAAGTGTCGTCGAGTTGGTTCTGACTCATAGTGACCCTGTATAGGGTTGCAAGGAGTGACTGGTGAGTCTGAACCACCAAATTTGTGGTTTAAAATGACCTTGTGGTCCAGTGTTTTATCCCACGGCACTCACCTACCAAACACCGAGTCAACAGATTTACATGTAGAATTCAGTGACACTGACTGCATTCTTCAAGTTGTGTAACCACCTCACCTTCTTCCTCTGAATTGTTTCTCATTAACATCAACTCACTGCCTCCTAAACTTTCCATCCTAATCTTTTTGATCCCAGCAGGCAGGTCTCTAAAAGAGCATGATGCTCAAAGCAGACGTTCTTCACTAATTAAGCTAGCCGAACAGTTTCAAGAAGACTTCAGGGGCTATTTTTGGTTTAATGTTTAAAGATTATCTCAGGGAATAGTTTGGGGCGTTCAACCAGCCTCAATAGCTCCAGAAAGGCTGGGCTCCATGAGAATTTGAAATTCTCTTCTGCGTTTCCCACCTTTTTTTATCTTTTATCAAAACATTCAGTATGGGTAGCTGGGCACCATCTAGTTCTTCTGGTCTCATTGATTGCAAAGGAGGCTTTTCATGGTACTAGATGTGATCAGAGGGGAACCTGAACAACAACTTCGACTTTTGGCCTCCTGAGCTCATCTGCTTACTGCATGTCTTGCAGGATACTTGAAAACTTTGAAAAGACAAAATGAGATCATCTTGCTTTATATAACAAATACCTACTTGAAATAGTATTATCTAGAATTTTAAACTAAGTGGTCGGTACCTCCCAGTATTTAGAGTTCTGAGTGTATTCATACTGACTTTCACTGGCCTGTAACATTGGTGGGCAGCAGGGCTTTGGGCTTTATATTTCTCTCTACCCAGAGAATGTACCAAGAAAATCTTGTGCCCCCAATATCTAAATAAAACAGAAACACAATAAGGGATCCCAGAAGTACTTCCATAAAAGTATCTCTTGCTATTTTTCAATATTTTCCCCCACTAATATACCTATCGGAGTCTTGGTGTGGCGCTGTGGGTTAATGCGCCAGACTGCAAAGCTGCCTGAACTGCAAGGTCGGCGGTTCAAGCTCACCAGCTGCTCCTTGGAAACCCTATACAGGATCGCTATGAGTCGGAACTGACTCCACGGCACACAGCCACCACCCACCAAACTACTAGTCACGCCATCTTGCTATGTCGTCCTCTCTCGGAGGGTAGGTCCCAAACTCCTCAATACCCTGAGAGAGGCGGGAAGGCCCTGGTGACACGTGGCAGTCCTCACACTTAGCACCTTCCCTCCAAAGCTGCCTCTCCCCTGGCTGGCTGTCATTCTACCACTACTGCCTCTGTCAACCAGGTTCTTCTTCTGCCCGCTGCTTCCTCCCAATAACCACTGCTCTCTGTTGTCCTCCTTCCAGCAAGCACAGTCTTTCATTCCAGATTTGTGGCCCCTATGAGGGGAGGGGTGCTGTGGGACCTGCCGGGACCTTAGCACAGAGCCTGGGACAGCGCTGGTGGCCTGAGAAGCAGCTGACTCCCCACCCAAGAACATGTTGTGCACAAATTTAAACCTCACAACACCCTTTTTCAGGCAGGGCCTGGTATCACCCCAATTTCTAGATGAGGAAGCGGGAGGCATGGAGACAGGAAGTCACTTTCTGGATCTAGTAGGTGGGGAGCTGGGACTCAAGCTGAGACCCCCAAATGTGTGTGAGGTGAACTGACTGAGGAACGGCAGAGGGAAGGGAGGCCTCTGGCCCGAGCCCCTGGAGGTGCCCGAGTACCTTTTCTCATCCCACCGAAGGGGTCCTTGTTAGGCTCGTAGGGCATCCTGCCCATCATGTCTGGCATGCTCAGGCCCTGTTGGTATGGGGCGTTCGGGGTCATGGAGTTGCGTTTGGGGAACGACGAGTCGCTGACGTCTGAGAAGGGGTCGTGCACGCTGATTGTACTGCTTCTGAAGGGATGCAACAGGAAAGGTTAAGGATGCCTCAAGAGGACCCTTGGAACACTGTGCTTGGATGATGCACCAGAGCCAATAACCATCCCAAACAAACGACAACGATCCAGCTCCCCGGGGAACACCGTTTCCTCCAGGAAAGCATGTCGTTCTCACATACCTGCCACCTTGCATCGGGGTCATCTGTCCGTGGGGGGTGGAAGCTGGAGTCGGAGGCTTCAAGTCACCCGGCACTTCTGCCATCGAGTTACTGCCAGTGGATTGTGGGGTCTGTGGACCTTGTAAGGATCCTGAGTTAGCTGACAACCAAGAGAAACGAGAAAGAAAACTGTAGGCAATACCAAGGGAGTGAGCACCTCTTTGTCTGCCGCTGAGAAAAAGGATTAAAACAGGACAGTCAAACCCAACATAGTCATTAGAGAGCCCAGCCTGTCAGACACGCAGAGCAGCTGGTGGGTACGAACTGTCAACTTTATAATCAGTCTTCCAGAGCTTTAACCACTGTTGTTTTTAAGTGCTATTGATTCCGTTCTGACTCATAGCGCCCCTGTCTAGGATTTCCGTTGAGTGGCTGGTGGGTTTGAACCGACGGCCTTGAGGTTCAAGTCAAACTTGTGGTCCAGTGCTTTATCCTGCAGTGTCACAGCCAGGACTCTTGTTATTAAGTGCCATCGAGTTAGCGACTGGTGAGCTTGGACCACCGACCTCGTGGTCAATGCATTATCCTACTGCAGTGCCCTACCAGTATTCTGGGGCCCCTTAGACAGGTCACCATCCTATTACAAATAGCAACATGCTGATAATGATGTAGTAACATTATTTATTCTTATGTTGTTTACAGTAAAAATTAGTAAAAGCTTCCCCCGCCCCCCAAAAAAAGTATTTAGTAGCACAATTCACTTATGAGCCATAAAACCCATGTCTACCTTTTGACTGGGTAATTGCTTTCCTGGGTGTTTATCCCAGGAAAATAATCGCATAAAAAGAAGTCTAGAGACAGAAATATACTCTGTGTTGTTTGTACTGGAGATAATCTACACGTCTAGGGTCGCTATGAGTCGGAACTGACTCCACGGCACACAACAACAACAACAACAAAGGGCACAAAAGATGGGATGAGGACAGTGTATCTGTGTGATGCACTACTGTGTTATCTTAGAAATAAACAAAAACAAACGAGAAAAATTAATTCTGGGTCTTCGGCAATGAGAAGCATTAGCTGCGAGCAAAGATGTAAATTAGCAATGGGCCTAACTAATGTCGCTCAACGGCTGCTCTGTGTCTGCAGGGGTCTACACTACAGGTCAGACAGCTTTGAGGTGCTTTAATGTCTGTTCCTAGAGTTTTCAGAGTTGGCTTTAACTATAGCTGGTGCGGCGCTGTGGATTAATGCACTGGACTGCAAAGTCGGTGGTTCAGGCTTACTAGTCACTCCTTGGAAACCCTATACAAGGTCGCTATGAGTGGGCACCGACTTGACGGCACTTACCAACAACAACAGTGTAGTGGGTTACACACTAGGTTGCTAGTTGCAAGATCAGCAGTTCGAATCTACCAGCCGCTCTGCAGAAGAAAGATGAGGGAGGTTTTCTGTTCCTGTGAAGATTTACGGCCTTGGAAACCTTAGGTATGGTCACTACAATTCAGAACTGACTCAACGGCACACAACCACTACTATCTACACCTAAGGAAAAAAATATGTAAGGGTTCCTGCTTTATCATCAATCAATCACAGCCACAGGCATTGGTTTCATTGATAAATTAATTAAATATTTATGGACAAAATAATGTGCCTACTATAGTCCAGCATCTTTTCTATGCCTCTAGACAAAAATCCCTGCCCCCCTGGAGTTTACAATACACTACATCCCGCCTAGAGGGCTGGACCGGCTGCTGGTAAGCAGTATCGTTTCATTTCATAGTCAGCGTTCCTATCATATAACATTCCCCAGGCTTGCTACAACTGCCATTGTTCCCACTGTGTTTTAGAGGAAATGAGGTTAAACAAATCAGAAGAGTGCGCCAGGCAGGAGTCAGAGGCTGGCCTGAACAGATCCCATCCACAGAGGGCTGCAGCTGTGAAATCCGGTCTGGCCACTCCCAGACCCAGGGCGGTTTAGGGATACCCTCAGAGATGCTGGAAAGATGAACACTGAAGGCAGAGACCTTTGAGAAAAACATATCCTCTCATGCTTAGAAACGAAATTGTGGCAAAACCCTTAGAATGAAAATTAAAAGAAAGTGGTAAAGACAGCATAAAGGAGAACCCTGCTGACCGGACTCCCCAGGCTTCCAGATTCCTACACTGCCAGGGACCCCACCACAGGGCCCCATTTCCCTGGAGGTCTGGCTCCCTAGCTGGGGGTTCAGGAAGAGCCTCGTTTACAGCTAATGAAAACAATGGAAAAGGCCACCCTCCTGCTAGTGTTTTCCTCTCCTTTCAGGGAAAAATACTACTGCAGCCTCTGGAAAGTCCATTCAGAGGCTTAGCTGGGACACCCCAGAGCCAACAATGGGAGGGTCCCGAGGCTTTAGAAGGGCAGCCAGCCTCCTCGCTGGACCTGGTGTCCAGGCAGGACATGACCTCAGGCCCCAGTGCCTAAAGGTTGGTTCCCAGGCACCTCTGTTGACAACTTGATCCCCGTTCTCAGTTCTACGTCTCTGTGACATCACCTGTCAGGGAATACTAGAAACTCTGCCAGCCACCCGCCGGCAAAGATGGATGGGTTTTGCTTAGGGAGGCATTCATTGGATGTCCCACCCCCACCCGGGCCTGCTCACCCCACTGCCCCAGGAAGGACCCAGGAGTCCAGGCAAAGACCTCCACAGACCTTACAGGTTTATGGTACGGAGATCCCCATAGCCAGATGCAGACCCTGACAGATGCAGACCACACCCCAAGGCAACAATCAGGAGCTGGGGGTGGGGGGTGTTACAGCTCCCTGACAGGCACAGAATTTAATTTTAGACTCACATGGAAAAACAAAACAAAACAAAACGGTGCCAACCAAACCAACCCACCAGCCCAGCCACACAGCCTTCTGAGCTGAGGCTCTCGAGCAACTGTCTTCCGGCAATCCAAGTAACACCGTGCGCATGGGGGTGTGCTCCGGCACTGCACTGACATCCTGGTGATGACAGGAAGTTTGACTTCCACGACTTCCTGGTTCATTAGATTGGTGCTCCCTTTGGACAATTGTTAAGAATGGACTGTCACACTCACAGGGACACCAAGTGTGCCCAATGAAACTGTTCCATAAGGTTCTCAAGGTTGCGACCTGGGTAGAAACACATTGCTAGACCTTCTGCCCCAGGTGCCTCTAGGTAGGTCTGCACACCACGCTTTCTGTTGGTCACCAAGTGCTTAACTGTTTGTGCCACCAGGGACTCCAGAGTCCTATTGTTGTTGTTAAGTGCTACTGAATCGATTCTGACTCATATCGACCCTGTATAGGACTTCCAAGGATCAGCTGGTGGGTTTGAACTGCCGACTTTGTGGTTAGCAGTCCAGTGCTGATCCTGCAGGGCCACAACAGGAGGACAGATTGTACTGTTGTTACGTGCTGTCGAGTCAGTTTCAACTCATAGTGACACTATACAGGGTTCCCAAGGAGTGGCTGGTGAGCTTGAAGGCCCGACCTTGTGACTCAAACCGACTGCAGTCCAGCGCATTAACCCGCAGTGCCACCCCAGGACTCCAGATTCCTATTTGCCAAACCCAAACTGGGATCCAGTGTTTGACTTAGTACACTCTTAGATACAGCCATGGGACTTAGTTGATTTGCAGCAACTGCTGAAAACAAATGAAGACGTGAGACTGCAGGGTAAGCACTTGACCGTAACGTTGGTTTGACTGCAAGGCTGGTGGTTCAGACCCACCACCTGCAACTCAGAAACTCTATACAGGGTTGCTATGAGTCGGAACTAACTCAATAGCACTTAATAACAACAACAACAACAACAGAATGTTCCTCAGGAATCTTTTGCTTTAGCTTGCTCATACGTGCCTGTGAAGAACAAACTAAAACAATGGTCTCTTTAAGAGCTCTGCTAGCGTAGTGGTGACGAATCGGGCTGCGAACCGCAAGGTCAGCAGTTCAAAACTACCAGCCGCTCCGCCGGAGAAAGATGAGGCTTTCTGCTCCCGTAAAGATTTACAGCCTTGGAAACCCTGTTCAGGGTCGCTATGGGTCAGAACCGACTCGACGGCACTTAACACAACAACAATGGTCTCTTTGGAAAAACTGACTTCAAATGATAGAAATTTCTGCTTAAAGTTAAGTTTTTGAAAGTAGTGTTACATTTACCAGCGGTGAAAGGGTGGAGGAGATGGGGAGAGACTGCTTAGAGGGTGCTGAGCTCCAGTTCCGGGTGACGGGAAATTGGGAAGGGGACAATAGTGACTGTTACACAACATGGCGGACATAATGCATGTCACTGAACTGTACCCCAAAATGGTTGAAACAGCAAAATGCTTTGTTACCGATATTTTCACTACAATAAAAAACAAGACCCCGATGAAGCAAATGATGGCTGGGTATCATTTTTTTCCTTCGATGAGAATAATAATGCTTCCTTGACGGTCGCCATGGAATGAGAGAAGCCCCTGACTCATGGGATGTTTGATGATGGAAGCAACATCCCAGTAGCCCAGCCATGTGTCCTTCTGAGCTTCAGACAATCACACTGGCCCCGTGCCCATGGAGGACATGGTCTCGCTATGGCTGGATATCATGACAACATCATGAACAGGAAGTTGGACTTCTACCACTTCCTGTTTCCCAGGACCTGGACTCCATTTGGACTATCAGAGGTGTATCTACAATCCCAGCTCTTTTGTACAGTTAAAATGGTAACGTTGTTATAAAAACTGTTTTAAAAAAAGGGAAAGGGGGAAAAAAAGAGCTGACTGGTAGAAGAAGAGGCCCCATTTCAGAAATGGAGTCCCTGGATAGGGCAAATAGTTAACAGGCTCCGCTGCTAACTGAACTACAGAAGAAAGGGCTGGCGATCTACTTCTGAAAATCCAGCCATTGCAAACCCTAAGGAGCACAATTTTACTCTGACACACACGGCACTGCTAAGAATTGGAGACAACTCAGCGGCAACTGGTTTCAGAAACAGTGTTTAACAGACATCTGTCATGACATTTTGTTGAACTCCCTTCCTCAAGTGAGAACTTGAACACCAAACTACGTTCCGGTTTCATTTTCCTAAGGGCACATATGCTTGTCGGACAGGCAGAGCTGTCTCAAGCTCGCTGTCTACCCTGCTGGGATGCATTTTCCAGTTGCACTGCAGTATTCCAAGTATTAGTTAGAAGGGATATTTATTTTGTAAGTGTTGCTAATTACCATCTAGTCAGTTCTGACTCACAGACACCCTCTAGATGGCTCCCAAGGAGTGGCTGGTGGGTTTGAACTGCCGACCTTGCAACTAGCAGTGTAGTACTTATCCTCCATCACCACACCAGGAGTCCTTCGTAGAGTTAGAGGAAGAATTTTAAAACACTTGTGTAGGGAATAAAGCCACAGAACTTTCTTTTGAGTTAATTTTAAGGTAAAGCAAAGGAATGGTGACTGCAAAGTGGTATTCTCACTTAATTGCTGCCAATGTAGATTGAGTTAAGTAATAATAATAATAAATAAAAACAATACAAAAATAGTAGTTGTGCTACTATAATGTCCAGCCCAGAGCCTGGGTGGTTGGACGAGCACGCCGCTGCAGTTCCCCCACTCACCAGGAGAGGGCGGCTGGAGCTTGGGCTGCTTCTTGGTGTCCCCGGTGCTGAAGACCTCAGGCGGCGGCTCCTCCCCTCTCTCGATCTTGCACTCGAAGGCAAACAGGTACTGGATGTACTGCTTTTTCAGTGAGCTGGCTGCGCTGCTCGAAGTGCCAACATTGAGGTTGGTTGCCAGCTCACGCCACTTCTTGTTTTTATTAACCTGGCAAGAAAAATGGCAGGATCATTGGTTTGCAGCAAAATGGCTTGTTTAAGCCAGGAGACAAAACAGAGAGGAAAACACTTAATGTCTTGAGGTTGACTTTTTTTATTTGCCTGTTGTAACTTATGGGCATGGTTCCCACCCCGTAGCACACAGACAGCATTTACAGGGAGAAGCCATAGAAGGAAGCTGCCTGGCTCGGGGGCTGGGGTCCTGGTCACCATTCATCTCACCTTTAGTTCAAAAAGAAAAGAAAGAAGAGGCATCTACAAGTGAATTTGAGCAGGGCAGAGTGCTGTGGACATTGAAGATCCCTGCGGGACTGAGCCTGGAGCACCTGGGTGTGTCCTGCATGCCAGGGGTCCTGGTGGGGAGGGAGCATAATGTGGAGTCAAGAAGACCCAGCCTTGGCCCAACAGCCAGACTCTAGACCCCGCTAGCTGCGCTCCCTGTGGTCTGCTGATGGACTGAGCACCCACACTCCTTCCTGCCACCCAAGGGGTGTCTTGCTTAGACTGGCTGGGAGATGAGGAAATCACAAAGGAAGACACCCTGATTTTAGGCCTTCGTTTCCCCTTTGGGTTACTGCTTGGGAATGGTTGTTGTTAAGTGCAATCGAGTGGGTTCCAATCATAGGGATCTTTTACAGGGTTTCCCAGCCATTAAACCTTTGCAGAAGCAGAAAGCCGCATCTCCCATGGAGCGGCTGGTGGGATCAAACTGTGGACCTTGTGGTTGGCAGTCAGTACTTATATAGTATGGAAGGTCAATGACACCAGTGGAACATGGAGGTCGGTGAAGGGCTTGGGGAACACGCTGTGTGCTGACATCCCATGCTGAGTAGCAGGGGGAAAGGTGTTGGTGGTTTTTAAGAAAACACTGACTTTTTGATGTCTATTTACGTTGTACTTTTTGTTGTGACGTGCCGTGGAGTCGGTTCCAACTCATAGTGACCCTGTACAGGGTTTCCAAGGCTGTAAATCTTTACAAGAGCAGAAAGCCTCATTTTTCAAAGCACTGATTGCTCTTACACATGCCCGATACCGATCTACTCTCTTGGGATAGAATGCATGGCTGTAGACATGAGGCCTACGGTGGCTTCGGGTGGGAGGCCAGCAATTCCCCATGGCACCACCAGCCACATGCCCCCAACCCTCCTTAGCAGCCAGCAGGGTTCTCCATTTGCTGACCCCACATGCTCATGCACATTCCTGACACAGTCACAGTCAGTCAGCAATAGCCACATGGAACGTTCTACAAAGTCCGAGAGTCTGGGAATGGGGTGGGAGGTGACGGGTGTCTGGTGTTTGGGGCAGAGGTGAGGGTGCCTGGGGGGTGAGGGAGGGGTGAAGGTGTCTGGGGTGAGGGTATCTGAGGTGAGAGAGAGGTGAGGGTGTCTGGAGGGAGTCTGGGGTCAGAGGGAGGGGTAAGGGTGTCTGGGGGCAGAGAGAGGGGTGTATAATGATCTCTCCTTTCCTTGTCCATTTGCTTGGCCTCACACAATTTGTAGCAGAAGGAGCGTCCACACAAACTGTCTCCCAGGCAGCTCTCTCTTCGGCAGTGGGGCTGACCGTAGAGAGCAAGGCAAGAACAAAGAGGTTCCTGGTCTCCCGGTGTCCCACATGGCATGAGGCCAGGGCAGCCTTGGTGAGTGTGGATAGAGGAGCGGTCCTTGTCTGTAGCCACAGACGTTCCACCTGGGCCCAGGTGTGTTGCTGGACTGATACTAACATCACCTGGGTCCAGAAAGGGGAGGGGCCCAGGTGATGACCACTTTAACCCTCTCATGGAGATAGGGTCCACCTGCATCTTCCACCTCTAGGGTTTAGTGGGAAACGCTTATCCCACTCTTTGTGTGTGTCACCATTTGGTGGAGGTTGTGTAACTGTGTAAATTTGAAGAACTGGGCCTTATCCTACGAACTCCAGCATCAGAGATTCTTGGGACATATGTATCCCACTAATTCATCAAAATCCATATTACCTCAAAAAAAGTTTTTTCCTCCATTTCATTCAAAATGTCCTCCATTACTGGAAACACTGGTTACAACAAAAAAATGAAAGCAGAAGATAATTGTTGTCTTGGGAAGGTTAAGACTCTCTAGTCATTTCTACTGTCTCACTAGGCTTTAAGAACAGCTAGGAGGCCTGGGGTGGCGCTGTGGGCTAATGAGCCAGACTGCAAAGCCATTTGAACTGCAAGGTTGGTGGTTCAAGCTGCTCCTCTGAAACCTTACACAGGGTCGCTGTGGGTCGGAATCGACTTGATGGCACTTAACAGGAAGTATGGGGTAAGACCAGGGGTGGAGTGCTCAATCTGAAAGGTAATCACAGGCTTACTGGTGCGTACTTACTCATCTGTCGGGAATCATTTCACATGGATTTCAACACAGATGTGGTGAAGAACGTGTGAAACTACACATTAATAAGCACACAGAAGTAAGCCCATGTTTACCTTGCATACTGGGTACTTTGTTCCTGTCAGGGATGGTGAATTTGAAAAGAGGCTTTCGTTCAATAGGAAGCTGCTGTGGGGTTGGGTGAGAGATGGATGTCAGTCAGACCTAGAGGCAGAATCCCTGATGTGGTGAAAAACATGTGAAACTGCCCACTACAGATTAGTAAATAGCACACGTAAGCCTGTACTTACCTTGGTCACTGAGGAAGCTGACATTGGGAAAGAGCACACGTTTTCATATCAGGCACACACACCTGGCTTCCCCCCTAGCCCTGAGTGATGGTCCACAATCCTGCAACCCGAGATTGTCCTCAGCTGTTCTGTGGGGCCAGTGACCCTGGAATCTTAGGGGCATTTAGACAGACAAGCAGTGACAGGCACAGAGCCTGGCATACATTCCCTGTCCCCATGACAGGACATGTCCATACACATTCAACTAAAGCCCAACTCCTGACATGCCACTGTAGCATCAGCACTGGACTGTGAACCACAAAGTCAGCAGTTCAAATCCACCAGGGAAACACTACGCAGGGTCTCTACGAGTAGGAGCCGACTCCACGGCATTTCACAACAACAAGGCTGTAAGCTTTGAGAAGGCACCCCCTTCTCAGAGTCAGACAAGCTAAGGCTGGCACTCCTGAAATTTCGGTCCCTAGTCCCCTCTCCTGCCCCACATATCCTAGCCCTGCAACACTGATGTCTTCTCCTCATGGACCTGGTTTTAGAAGTACGACTCAATGTTCTGAGGAGGGGACCAGTGAATATGATTTATATCTGAGCTAGATAATCAACTCAGTCATTTTCAAAGCATTTCTGAACTCCTGGACAACTAACTCCACAAAATCCTGGCACAGTTATGTTCATGACGTAGGTCTTCATGAACGACCTACCAAGATTATTTTGAGTTGCGGGCAGCGGCAGGACTCCCAGGTACCCCCTGCCCCAGTATACAGACCTGTTCAGTGTCTTCTTTGTGAGAAAACCATGGCGTTCACATATTCAAAGGAAGCCACGGTAAGAACATACATCTACTGTCAGCACACTGATTGCATGCTCACTCGTTCTTACCTGGGCCAAGCCGCCGATCTCTTTGACGCACACGTAGAGTCGGAACAAGTCCAAGGGCTTCTTGCCCACCGCAGGCAGACTGGAGACAGGGGAGCCTCTCTCTTCCATGAAAGTGAGGTATCGGTCCACCCACAGCTTCCTCTCTGGCTCATTCCCCAACTCATACACTTTTGTGATCTTGTCCCCAGTGGTGGTGGATGAACTGGACTTCTAAGGGTCCGGGAGGAGCATTTGGATATGGATGAACAGAGGGCCAGGGAAGAAGGTGAGGGAAAAGCAATGAAACAGCAAATCCAAAAAGACACGAAACTTAACAACGTCCACCCTCCCAGAACACTTAGGAATGAAGGCTACTAGTTCAGGCACAAGCAATACATCTCCTTAGTTAAAAATTTACTTTGACTTTAAATAAAGGGCCCACACTCCCCCTTTTATACACTTCAAAAACAAAAATGGAGAAACCCAAACCTTTTTTTTAAATTTTACTGTTCTAAGCATTGAATCTCAGAAGGCAAGTTTCCAAAGATGCTTCACGTCATTTTAAAAATAAAAGGGTGCTCTCCCCCATAGAATTCTCACAGGGGAGGCAAAAACACCCCCCAAATTCACAAAATATCAGAACCCCAACAACATGGGTGCCTACTTCTCTTTGTCTAAACCTAGGTGACTACCGTGTGTCTCCCATTGAATTTCCAGATGACACGGAGGAGCAACCCCTAAGGCTTGATAAAAACTAAGTGAGGTCACCCATCACAGAAGCCAGAGGTGTGGGCTCCATGCTGGTTTGGGGACATTAAAAATTAATGGGCAACTGAAGTGTTGGCACTGAATCTTGACACCCAACTTCTCCCTACATTTAAGATTCTTGAACTTCTCTGTCAAAGGGACGATTCCGTAATTAACACATTTCTCAAGCAACTGTGTTTTTAATAGTCAAACAGTGTTGCTATTTCATATTCCCAGAATATTTAAGGATAAACATATACACTGGCCTTCAAGGAGACCTGGTGGCACAGTGGGTTAAGCGTTAGCCTACTAATTGAAAGGTTGGTGGTTCAGTCCCAGCAGTACTCGTTGGAAGATGAGGCAGTCTGCTTCAGTAAGGATTTACAGAGAAATCCTGTTTGTGGAGTCCTACGCTGGCCTATGGGTGCGCCAGGAGCTGGAAATTGACTTGGCAGGTGGGTTTGGTTTGGTTTTTATTCATGAGTAATTATTGTGTAGTTTATATTGATGTTCTAATTCTTGGTCTTTTATGGGTCTATTTACACCTTTATGTAGAGTTCTAAAATGCCACCCGCCGCTATTTCTATATACATGAAGTACACCTACTGGGCAGGGAACGCTATTAGCCCTAAATACTGTATTTTTTCTCCCTTTCTCTTTTTATCTTGCGTATGTGACAATATTTATCTATCTGGAATGTCTGCAGTTTCAGGGCTATTGTGCACAATGACTTCTCAATAAAGAATTCCTGGGAGCAACACAATTCACTTCATTCACATACATTTTTACATTGGCAATTGTTGTCAAGTGACACTCAGTTGTTTTCGACTCCTGGTGATCCTCTGTAAGGTGTCCAAGGAGCAGCTGGTGGGTTTGAAGCCCTAATCTGTGGTTAGCAGTCCAGTGCTTATCCGACAGGGCCACATCAGGACTCCAGTATCTGAGACTGAGGTCTTTTGAACTCTTTTCATTATAATTGCGATTAAAATCATTTTCAATGTATTGTTTTTTTTTTCTCCTTTTGGTTAAATATGATTGCCACTGAGATATTACACCTTGTTTGACAAAAGGGTCTCCAGGAACAGCCAAGCCCATGTCTGAGGACGAGACAGGTTGAGCTGTGAGGTGGCAGCTCTCCATGAGGGGTGTGTGAAGGGTCTTTTCAACAGAGATTTGACACCTCAGCTCTAGAATTATTGAGGCTTCAGATCTTATCAAATATTATGGTGGTTAATTTTCTGTGTTGCCTTGGTTAGGGTGTGGAGTCCACTAGTCTGGTCAAACACAGTCTAGTGGCTCTTACGATGTTGCTACTTGTGATTAAATCAGGTGGTCTCAAGCAGGTCACCTTTCATAATGTGGGTGGGCCCTCCTGAAGAACTATAAACAGACTTCTTGCCCAAACTCCTTCTCTCTTCATTCCTCCTGGTCTCTGACCTATTCCATTTTGGGACACTTCGCTGCAGGAATCTCTAAGTCTGTCACCTGACCTACAGATTTTGGGCCAGCCCTCACAATTTCGTGAGCCAATTCTTTAAAATCAATCTTTCTCTCTGTGTAGATAATCTCCTAATCCTGCTTCTCTAGAGAACGCCAAGATAAACATAAAAAACTGGGTAATGATCGGTGTGTATGAAAAGATAAAAAATAGTGTGACCTTTTAGAATTTACTTCAGTTCTGAAGTAAAACTGTAAATCCCCTGAAAATTAGTTTAGACAAGTATACTTATTTGTTATACACACATTAACATAAACATGTCTGTATATCCCTACTAAAACTGTATAAAGCATTTTACATGCAAGTGATGCATTAAAAATTTATTTTCTAAACTTTTACTTTTATAACCAAAGAATACCTGAATATGGAAGGAAAGTGTCCTAACATACTTTTGTACCAGATTCTCATACATTTAAAAATATTTTTCCATCATTAAGCGAGTATTAGGAATTTTTTAAATGTCCATACTAAGCTTTTTTTTTTTTTTTTTTTTCCCCTTTTGGGCTATACACCACAAAAAAAAAGTCTGTTTTTCAAAAATGAAAATTTGAAATACTAAGAATGCAAAGGGAAAAAATTAATAAAATTACACTTTTAAAAAGTTTCCTCTTGCATCTCACTTGTGAAAAATTGAGAAGTAAACGTTTGAGATTTGGCTTAAACAGAAGAGGAATATAAGCAATGATTTTCAACTTAAAATCGGACTCACTCTCCCAGCATCCTAAGTACTGTTTCTGGTCATGGATGGAGTTTCTGGAGACGAGTTCATAATGAGTCTAGCACCGAGCCTGAGGGAACCTTACCTCTGCCTTACAAAAGGAGCAGATTTCTGTTAATCTGAAGCAGGCGTAATAGTTATGACATCTTGTTATCTTTATGTTTTAGCTTTTCTTGCTTTTTTTGGTAAATGACCTTAGATTCAAAAAACTTGTGTGTCTCAACTGGCTCTTTTAAAATCAGGACATTTTAAACTATTTTTTACTAGAATAGCTTTAATGTTTCATAATTTTTAGATTGTCTAAAAAACATTTTTGTGGCACTAAAATGTAGGAAAAGTTATCTATATGTCAATTACCGGCTCCCATTCTGTGTAGTCTTTGAAAAGCACCCCACCCCCAATATTAGCTGCCTAATCTGAATCAACAGAGTCCTGGGGTGGCGCTGTGGGCTAATGCGTCAGACTGCAAAGTTGTTTGAACTGTAAGGTTGGTGGTTCAAGCTCACCAGCTGTTCCTTGGAAACCCTATAAAAGGGTCACTATGGGTCGGAATCGACTCGACAGCACTTAACAACAACAACAATCTGAATCGGCCGTTATCTGTTTCACGTTACACAGGAACACATGTGAACGAGTACACATTTTGCGTGCAATTGTGTTAGTCTCCTATCCACTTCTGTGTCTGGGCGGCTGATTCTTCTGTGAGTGAGGCGCAAGTGGACGAGAAGGCAGCGAAGGTCTGGGAACATCCAGATGAGACTCACGACTGACTCAAACATCCTCGGGAAAGAGCTCAAATGAGTCACGCTCACGTGACAGCATGCCCAGTGAGACGGGAGCGTGTCCACTGACAGCACTTCTCATTTTGACCCCAACCTTCAGGTCTATTTTACTGATTACTAGTTATGACTGGGTGCCTATCTCAACAGAGAAACATTATAAACAAAACCGTTAACATCACAGACTTCATCATTCTTCCCAATGCCTTTTTTGCTCACAGACATTAGATCAATGTCATTATAATATTCTCCATACACTGACAATGGACAAGCCAACAGAACCTTCCACAAAAGGGTCACTTTCTCCAGGGCACTAAGGCTGACCCTGTATCTACAGCGTCGGGTGTTGTCAACTGCTCTGAAACCCTCACTGTCTTTGTGGAGGCAAGAAAACGGAATGGAAACTGATGACACATGACAACCAGACATTATTATGGCTCCACAAATGCTGTCCTTGTGTATGATTTCATTAAGTCTCTAAGCACATTTTCCCTCCAGTTCTTTCAGGGTAGATTTACATCTCAGCCGTCTTTACCATATGCCTGGTGATATGTGTATATGCAAATGTTTCATTTTATTTTGGAGTGTTTTGTAACAAAACAAAGTTGGTCTCTGATACACAAAGTGTGGAATGTCTTCAGATTTTAGTCCATTTCAGGCCTGCTGTTACAAAGGCTTGATTAAGGAAACTGTGAAGAGCAAGTCTAAGTGTCAAATTCAAGTTGTAGCTCAGAAGGAGCAGCTGAATGCTTCTGAGGTGCATAGATTTGTGGTGTTTTGGTGGAAGGGATCATCTGAGGCCCTTTCATTTACAGTCGCTTTGGTCCCCCTCTTCATTAGTACCTCATTCCAAAGAAAGGCCGCTTTCTCAGAGCAGGGCAGTAGCTTAGCATTTTCTGCTACTATTAAAGCTCCTTTAGTCTTTATCTACTACCTCGTAAGATGGACTTTGCCTCAAAGTTCTTAAACAGAGAACCACTTACACGGAGCGTTTATGTAAAGAGAAATATTTAGGAAAAATGTAGTGTACAATTTCAAGTATGATTGTACTGTTGTTTTTAAGTGCCATCGAGTTGGTTCTGACTCGCAGTGTTTCCAAAGAGCAGTTGGTGGGTTTGAACTGCCAACCGTGGTTTGCAGTCCAGTGCTTTTTTTCCCTTAAATTTAAGTAGCAAATGGGATTTTTGATCATTGGTTTGATAATCTGTGACAGGGTGGCTGGTAAGTGAAAAATATAGTATCTCAATCACTTTAGGATTCAGCAATCAGCCAGGTGGAGTTTTTAAACATATACTCTTTTAAACAAAATCAATCACTATTAATGACTACCTTAAGGTTTTTCAACCTCTGAAATTCTCTCTCTGAGCCAACGAAAGTGTTTGAATGCAAACAAAAGTTCTACCTGTGAGTCTGAAAGTATTGCTGACCCATAAATGCTTTTCCAATGATTAGGAAGAAAAAAAAAGACAACCCTATAAAATCAGGGTAGGTTATGGAACAAGAAGCACAATGTTGGCTGCCTTCTGAGACTCAACACCACTGGCAGGAAGACACCAAAATTCAAGAGGTGCATGAGCACGCCTTTCTTAATAGTTCTGCTGAACCCACGTGGGGAGTGGTTTACATTTGACATTTCATCTCAGTTGTTGCAAAAGTGAAACATTTGTCTACAGAGAAGGTATATGGATGCCTCCCCCTCATCCTCTGAAAAGGAAGATGCTGGTTAAGGCTAGTACTCTGAGCGAATTTTACAACCATTTACTGGTACAACCAACTCTTCAAGCCTTCAGCTCTCTGTCTAAATCAGTTCATGAATAATTAATAGCAGCCTCCTTTCTGGGTTTGTTGCCAGAATTCGCATAGTCAGGTTCATCTTCCCTGAGCTGTGCTCCCAATGCCTCATCTTACAAAAATTAGGGTGTTAATTAAGCCTTCTTGGCAAGTAATTGCATGTTAAGGCTCTTGGGTTTTTTTTTTTAAAGATCTTTTGATACCCTATATGAACGTAAAATAAAGGTTACTAAAGAAACATTACTTTCTTTTTTTATGGCACAGAATTAATTTCCTTAGTAGGTTTAAAAGGAAAAAAAAAGGGGGGGGGCAGTTTTCCAGTCAGAACACTAAGGCTAAAAATAAAAATTCTTTATACTTATGTCGCCACTTAAAAATATATAGACATTCATGCTTAATTTTAAGATAATCAGTTAGACTGGGCAGGATACAACTTTTCTCTCAAGTGATTTTCATATAGGTACAGCTACACAAAATTTGATCTAAAGTAGCATTCTATTCTCATGCATGAACACTTTCTACAGTTTTTTTGGGGGTAATTTCAGACAAATGGATTGAAGCACAGCAGGGCTGATGTTACGCTAAACTGCGCCCCGATTGTCATACTGATATTTCCAGGGAAGTTCTAAAATCAGATGCTTCAGTCAGAACTGCCCATGACAAGAATTAGTTCAGGGGCTCAACTTAGCCTTTCCCCAAGGGCTGCTATTAGCTCCCATGCACACGGAGAAGGAATCCGTTCTTCCGATCTTTACTGAGCACTCAAAGGATCAGACAGAGAATCAAAGTCACCTGTGTGATGGTGTTTGAACCCTACGCATGCTCCGTGGAGAGGTACCGTTCCATTCCCAGAAGTCAACCCTCGAGGGTACACGCAAACGTTACTCATTTCGTGTCTAGTCTTGTCATAAAGACAGACAACCCTCTCACGGACAGAATGAAGGAAAAGTCTTATCAAACACACCAACGAGCAAGCATTAAAGTAGAATTCATTCATTACCAGAAAACAAAAACAAAACAACCCCAAAATCCAAAACGAAACAAAAAAACAAAACAACCAACAACCAAAAAAAAAACAAAACAAAAAAAAACCCAGAGCCACTTACAGGGCTTGAAGGAGTCTTTGGCCAGCCTGGGCTGCTAATGCTATCGCTTTCATCTCCGTGAAATGAGGAGATGCTAGCAGAGCTGGGGGACATTGGGGAAGGGACTGGCAGGTTGCCTGGGGTTGGGGGCTGAGAGATACCCTGAGAGCTGTAGCTATCCTGTGGTAGAGGAATAAAAAAAAAAAAAAAAAAAGACAAAGGTAGGGCAAACTTTATTTAAAATAACAAAAAGCACATCCAGTTTAACAGACGAATTTTTCATATATTATATATATAAAAGACATGTACAAACCCACAAACAAACATACACATATAAAGGTATTAAAACAACATTCTTCATTAGTAGAATTTGGTCAGTTTGCTGGATGCTGGAGAAAAGCACTGTGCAACCGTGCTTATTTCAAGCTTACATGGATGCTAAGCATGGGTTACCCCTTATGAAAGAAAGAAAGAAAAGGAAAAAAAATAAAAAAATAAAAAGCTGTTCACCTTATTTATCAAATAAGGCAGGAAAGCAAAATATTAAGTATGTTGTTGCGGAGGCGGCCAAAACAGGAAGCTATAAACTGAGGCAGAGAATGGCTGAAAGTGTCAAAACCAAGCAAGACCCCTTACCTGTCCCCACCCCCGAAGCACATTTCTCCGGTTGGCCTCTTCCTTCCGCCCCTCTCCCCCCACCAGAAGTTCAATGCCGTGAGAACTAGTAACTTTCAGCTCCACACCATGACGGGGGTGGGGAAAGAAAAGGAGACTACGGAACACGGTGCAAGGAATGAAGGCATGCAGAGGAGGAGAAACCAAAGGAAAGGAGAGAAGACAGTGCCGGCCAACACCAGTTGGGGCGGAGACAGCAGCTACTGGCTGGCGGCCCAACACCACATGCTCAGGGGAAGTACCTTTGACTTGCTCTCCGGCTGGGAGGGCCCTTCTTCTTTGCCGTCGGTTTTGAGGGGCAATTTGGACTCACCGGGAGACATCATATCTGCAAGACCCATAGATGCTAATCGGAAACAGGAGAAAGAGTGGGGGATTATACACGTGCTTGCCCGCCTGTGTTCTCACTACTAGAAGTTACCGGGTGAAGGAAGGAATGGAAACAGGATTCATTTCTGAAATCTCAACACCATTGCATTTGGGCTATCCTTTCTCTTCTTAAAAAAAAAGAAAAAAAAAAAAATCATTCTAGGTACAGGCATACCTAGCTTTACTGAGTGTCGAAGACATTGTTGTTAGATGCCACCGAGTTGGTACCGACTCACAGTGACCCCTATGCACAACAGAACGAAACACTGCCCGATCCTGGGCCAACCTCACAATTGTTGTCACGCTTGAGCCCACTGAAGCTGCCACTTTCGCATTTTGAGTGCCTTCCAACCTGAGGGGCTCATTTTCTGGCACTATATCTGAGTGTTTCCCTGCTCTTCATAAGGTTTTCAGTGACTAAAGATTCGGAAGTAGTTCGTCACTCCTTCTTCCTAGTCTGTCTTCGTCTGGAAGCTCATCTGAAACCTGTCCACCCTGGGTGACCCTGCTGGTATTTAAAATACCTGTGGCATAGCTTCCAGAATCACAGCAACTGAGAAGTCAGAAGGCATGGCAGCCCTGTCATTGAGCAAGTCTATAGGCGCCGTTTTGGGTCTGTGTGTCACATTTTGGTCATGCTGCTCACACTATTTCATAGTGCTATTTATTGTATACTTAATAGACAAGAGTATAGTGTAAACCCAACTATTATATGCACTGGGAAACCAAAATATTTATGTGCCTTGTTTCATTGTGGGAGGGGGTGGTGGCGAAGGGGAGAGTCTGGAACTGAACCCGTAATGTCTCATAGGTATGCCTGTACTCAAGATCCAAACCACTTAAGGTCAATTTACAGCAACATTGTTTTTCCATAGTTACTACAGCTTTGAGACAGGCGCTCTGGTATCGTAGTGGTTACAAATCAGGCTGCTAACCTCACAGTCAGCAGTTCGAAACTACCAGCTGTTCTGCAAGAGAAAGATGAGGCTTTCTGCTCCCGTAAAGATTTACAGCCTCAGAAACCCTGTACAGAGTTGCTATGAGTCAGAACCGACTCCATGGCACATAACAACAACAACAACAAGTTTGAGAGAGTCGCTGACAAGTAGAAATACATCAAATGTTTAAATTGGTCATCAAGTTTTGAAAGCAAATCTTGGTGAATTGTAAGTTTGTTTTTTACACAAAGCTAAGAACCATAGGATTTAGTACCTTCTTAATTTACTAACTTCACATAATGGATACTTGGCAAAATCATCTAACATTTTATACGGTTGCATTCAAAGACCTTATCTATCACATATAGGCCTGTCTATAGCAAGGGAACGGAATCGGTGAATGATTTCAGAGGAAGTAATGGGAAAAAAGCTTCAGGAGAAAAGGGCTGCTAGTGATTTGGTGGTGGGCTGCACCCTTCAGCTGGTACAGCCCCTATATGCCCTGGGAGACAGCCCCTGGCTCCCGGCAAAACCCCAGCTCTATCTCAGGACTCAGATACATAGGCTACTCTGCCAGGCATTACGAGGAAAAGACGCAATTTAACATGAACAGTGGATTCAGGCACATTCTTGGTATAGATTAAGAGTTCCGATGGTACAGTGCTTAAGCACTCAGCTGCTAATGGAAAGGTTGATAGTTTAATCCCCGCAGTCACTCTATGAGGGATGATGTGGTAGTCGGTTTCTGTGAAGATTTACAGATTTGGAGACCCTATGGGACAGTCCTACCCTGACCTATGCAGTTGCTATGAACTAGAATAGATTCAAGGACCGTGGCTTTGGTTTGGTTTACTGGTATCCCAGGAGCCTGGTGGCACAGCGGTTAAAGCATGCAGCTGCTAACTAAAAGTTTGTAAAGATTTAGTCTGGGGCAGTTTTCCTTTGTCCAATGGTGTAGCACCGCAGGATAAGGCTGCAAAAGCGGTTTGAACCTCAAAGTTGGCGGTTCAAACTTACCAGCTGCTCCTTGGAAACCTTATACAGGCTTGCTATGAATCGGAACCGATTCAACGGCACTTAACAACCACAGCATAAGGTCGCTCAGTGTTGGCATCGAGTCCATACCAACGAGTTTGGTTTCGGATTTCATTGGGTGTAGGACCAGGCAATATTTCCTTATGTTACACAAACGGTGGAATCCTGAATGTGGCGCTGTGGGTTAACGTGCCAGACTGTAAAGTCAGTTTGAACTGCAAGGTCGGTGGTTCAAGCTCACCAGCTGCTCCTTGAAAACCCTATGCAGGGTCGCCATGGGTCGGAAACAACTCAACGGCACTTAACACCACCACCACCACCACAAAAGGTCACCACAACTCAACAACAACTAACAGCAATTGCAAATACGAACAAACATTTTCTGGTAGAAAACAAAACAAAACATGGGTTTAGGCTTCTTGTCAGAGGAAAAATGAGGCAACCGGAGGGAGTCTGTATAGAGACTAGCAGCTGAGTTTCAACAGCCCCACTGTGGAAGACCACCTGCAGAAACCACGAGCTGCCGGGACATCACCACAGATGAGTGAGCTGGGAGCCGGAAGCAGAGGGGGACAAGACAGTTGAGAGCTATGAGTCTATGAATGAGTGGAAATGGAGACCCTTGCCGTTTCAAAACAAATCAAACAGGATGCATTCTACACTGCAAATCAGTGCTGGCTCGACTGCACAAGGCACATGTACTGGAGTGTGCCAGGAAGGCAAAACACCACAAAAAAATAGACGCTTTAAAAAAGCCTCCACAGATTGCCCACTACAGAATGATTATTGCACATATTCATGTATTACTATGTTTTAGAAAATAATTAGTTTTAATTACAGCAGGGAGAGAGTGAGCTGGGCTCTGGCGAATAAGCTGGCAAGCTTTGTGGTGCTAATTTGCTAATATCTTTAGTATCACTGCAGGTTGAGACCATAGGTCCTGCCAAACCCTCCTCACCCTCCCTGCGCCGGCGTTTGCATGGGTACTGCCTCTGAAATGTCTGTGTTTCCACGGCATGCTGGCGGGTTTCTCCAGGCCCATGTGCAGCCCAGGCGGTCCTTAAAGTCATCGCAACACACACAAATCATAATTGAGATGTTTTTCTTTTCCCCCCCTCAAATTACTTTCAATACTTAGATTTGAAGAACTGGAACAAAAAGGTTTTTCAAGTGATGCAGCTGCAGAGAGAAATCTATTGGGATCAGCTAAAAATGCGGTTATTTTTGTGAATGTGTGAAACCTCAAAAAGGCAGCTGAGAGAGATTACACCAAGAAGACCGCCTTGTTCAAAGGAACGGTTGTGCTGTGTGGTTTTATCTCTGGGGTCTAGCAAGATGGGAATTAGCAAATCTGTACACGAAGAAACACTCTTTTTAAAGGACCAGAAGGAAGGAGAAAGTAGGACAAGTGTGAAAGCGGGACTTCCTGATGAAATGCACGTCCTTGGTTCACAGTGCTGATTCCAGAGAACGTGGCACAGGAATGCCCACGAGGCCTCTGGAGTCCTGCTTCTCCCTCACCATCCTGACAGTGAGCCAGGAAACCAGCTGTCATTGAGCAGATTGGGACTACTCATGGTGACCCCATGTGTGTCAGAGCCAACTGCACTTCATAAGGTTCCTAACAGCTGATTTTTCAGAAGCCGACCACCAGACCTTTCTTCGGCGGAACCTCTAGGTAAATTTGAATCACCAACCTTTCCATTAGTAGCTGAGCATTTAGCCGTTTGCACCAATGAAGGGTTCCCAGTATTTGTAATACATTGTACTGATCAATTTTGGAAAATATGAGTAGTAAGATCCCACTTCATACAGCCCACCCCATACTTCACTGTCTAAAAAGGCAATTTTCCCACCATAAACACCGATATGTATGGTGGTTATCAGGGATAATGAGTTTGAGAATTAAACTATGATTAACAGAAGCATTTATTGGGGGGGGGGGGGGGGGCTTCAAAAAGTTCATGGAAAACTTGAATGAAAAGTTAATGCAATGTTTCCATGAATCTTTTGAAACCCCTCATTGTATGCTGGTTTGAAATCCCCCAAATATCTCCAGTCTCCATTCTGTATGCATTTTGGGTATGCATATATAAGAACTGTTCAAAGTGGGTTGCTTTGTTGTTTTGACAGAAAACAGAATTTAGAGTAACTGTTTTATTTAGTACTCCTGACTTACAGTGGAGATTTTCTTTTACTAAATGAATCTTCAGGTCTGTCCTTCGACTGTCTCCTGTGATGCAATGCTTCTTTTTGCCTTCTTCCCAGAATCCTCAGTGAATCACTGCAAAGAGTCATAATCCTCCCAGGGCAATGGGACCCTAGGGGCACTTTCTCCCCTTTCCCAGAAGAGAAAGACCACCAAGACGACAAGGCTGTGTTCAATGTTTCCTCCACCCTGACATCCTCCTCTTCCCCTGTGCAAAGTCAGACAGAAAAAGAGGGCGTAGAAACCTGGGATGGCAGCGTGAAGTCCTATAAATACGTTTTAAGTCCCGACCCTGGGCTTGCCCACTGCAATTTACTGGCGAAGAGATTTCTGAGAGTAAGTGTAGGTCAAAGTCCTAAGGAAGTGACTGCACCCCAGATTTAATATATTCAAGAGAACATCGGGAATGTCGGGCCTGAGCAGAAGTGAATTTACACACCGATTCTGACTCACTCTCCCCAGCCCCGGCCTTTGCTCTGGCCATCCTGTGAACGGTTTTCTTGCGACAAGCCTACAGAGCTGTTTCCAGAAGATGGTAAGGAAGGATTGAAGACAGATAGCTCTTTCTCTTCCACGGGAAGTAACATAACATACCATGCTGAAGAACATGTGTAGATGTCAACACCTGTTTGCATAGGTGGTAAACAAAGTCTACTGAGAACACAGTATTCACAAGGGTATGAGGAAACCTTAGAAGACAGAGGTGTCTCTCTGGATCAGCAAGGCCCTGGAGGAGCCCCTTGCTACCTGCTCCTCCCCTCCATCAGCAGTGTGGGGAGGGGCTTGGGGACAACG